GTTAGAAGTGCACCTGCACACCGCTGGTTGTGGCTTCGCTGATTTACTGAATGTCTTGCATGAAGATATACACCTTTCAGTCTGAATCTACAAAAGTACCAAGACCAAGTAAGATTAATCCACATTTTGATTTCCTGAATAGTGCATCTACCTACACAGAGATTGCTTATTAGCCATTTTCCGAAAGCCTTGCAATAAGTTTCGTATCTGATTATCGAACTTTTAGTGTATGAACATTTGTTCTTAATTTCAAGAAAGCTGTTAATTAAAGTAAGGTTAGATTACTTAACATTTGGGACCTTGTACTTTCCGATTTAAAGACAGAAAGCATTGGGCTCATAGAAAAACGAAAAACTAAAGATTGAGCTATTTATGTGCCCTAGTGCAAGTGTTCTGTGCCTAGTGCAAACGTGTGACTACTGATCCTATAAATCGAACTGTGTTTACTTTTGTCGCTTATGGGTGAGATTACAGAACGTCTGCAACTTTGCAAATCTGCAAATATGGCGGACTTACAAATGCAAGTATTCCAAAAAATATCTGCAAATTCGCAATATTTATTGTGGTTTATTACCCCCAACAACACTAAACCCAAATTTGGAATACGAAAACTTGATACTTACATGTTTAAGTCAGTCATATTTGCAGATTTTCAAATTTGCCGCCATATTTGCAGATCTGCAAAGTTGCAGACGTTCTGTAATATCACCCTATGTGAACCAAAAATGTATTATTTTTTTTTGTCTGTGAATGATTTCAACGCTTTAGGGTTAATTTTACCATTGTGTTAAAGTTTAAACTATTAATTGAAAATTAAAATTACATTTTATGTAAAAATGTCATTTTAAACTTCGTTAAACCCAATGGTGGAATCGGCCCCAAGTTAGTTATATCATGGTCATTGATTAGTTGCAATTTTGCAAATAATATATTCTCCAGCGCTTAATAGCCCTTGAGTGATAATTAAATCAGTTATATTTTATTTCTTTCATTTACTTTATTCAGCACCTCTCGGCTGAAAACCGGGCATATTTAAGCTTTTAAATCCCCTTCTTTTATAACCTCTGCCTTCCACCACCTTTTAAGTCAATGTCAATAAAAAGGAAAATAATTTTTTTATAATTCAAATAATGATACTTAACCAGAAATAGTACAATAAAAACTTGTAAATCCGGTTCTGCTCTTCCGCCATTTTAGTGAGTGCAAAAGCCACGCCTACCGGTCCCACTTTTGTATATCAAAAATAATACATATGACGTATCCTTACGTTGCCTTATCAATGCTCCAATGAAACGTCCATAAGGTTGTTCTACTATCTTCTCTAAATACAATGATGTAACTGAACGTATTCGGTGGATAATGTCACGGCTAACCCAGCAGAAATTAAACGAATTCGGCTATCCTCTTTAGTTGATGATAATCATTGACTTTGGCCGTCAAGTCATAATTATGTTGTCAGATAAATAAATTTCCTTGTTTGAAAAAACTTTAAAGACTTTTGGGTAAAGTAATTGAGTTTTTAAAAAGTAAACATTGTTTATTGCTTTATAGATGATGTAATATTAATATTCAGTCAATTTTGTATTACAACAATTTAAATAAAATTGGTAATTATTGGGAAGACGCCCTTTAAAATCTTACTATATAAAATGAGCACTTTTTAGTGTAACAATTTTTTTTTCGAAATTCTGAGTTCTTAAAATTAATCGAACCCAAAATATCACATTTTTTGCGATTTCCAACGGTGGTGTAATTATAGTTTTTTACATTTATTTTTCATTGATTAGGATTGGAGAAGTTGGCAACACCGCGCATTTGTAATGGCGTGACAGTTTCCAGTGACAGGACAGATATAATTCTAAAAAGAAGCTAATAGGTGCGTTTTATTCATCCATTCTCTAGTAGAAAAAGTTTGAACAGAATTTGCAAACGCAATAAAACGATAAAATTGTCATCTGTCAAGAATGTCAAATTTAAAATCATCGTTTGATTTATCCATTATCCCGCCCATAGAAATAGTTAATATTAATTTAAAAATGGAAATATTATTACAGATATTTGGAAGTATTGCAACTTAATAATCATTTGCTATTAGCTGTACCAAGAATTCCAGTTGACATTATTAGATTAATTATCGAGAAGTATGAAGTATAAAATTATTTTTAATATTTTTAATAATTCAAAATATTTACTTCTAGTATGACCAATGATATAGCGAAATCTCAATTTGTTACATACATGTAAACAATAAATAAAATATGCTGTCTTTGTTGAACCAGAAATATTGTCCACTTTCATCCTGTACAATTTCTTCCATTTTTTACAACCTGTATCAGAGTCAACGATCCAAAGCCCAATTGAATTACGATTTTCGAATTTTACGATGATAAAAATAATTAAAAATTATAAGTATTATAACTCATAACCTTACTAATAAAGTATGTTTGGCACATAAGTTTGATATACCAATACCCCCCACTTTTTTCATTCCCTTCATTCGATCAAAATTCACCGAATGAGAAGTTTGAGCGGAATGAATCAATCGATATAATAAAACGCTCATTCTGTTCAGACTTTCCACACCGGTGGCAAAAGATTGAGCAATAAAACGCGCCATATATAAATGATCCTCAAAATTCCTAAATAATACATAAAAAAGAAAAAAAAAGTAAAATGTATGGGGTTTCCGCAGATAAATTTGAAGATTACTATCCTTCCTAAAGCCTAAAACGTAAGTTTTGAAAAAAAAATTGGATTATTAAGAAAAGGGCGTCTTCCCAATAATTACCTTAATGGGTAATGTAGTGTGGTGTTCTTAATTCACAATAAACCGAGGTAATACTGAAGTGTTTACTTTTCTATCATCGATCATCTAATTCTATAATCGGAAGCCTATGGATGCATTGTAGATGGAAAACTCTGGTTTGATAAACGTGTTACATATGCAGTAGATCAATAATCTTATTGCCTGCTAAACAACAATAATAAAATTATTTTTGCTACTTTTCCTACATGTTTTTACTGATTAATTTTTTCACTCCATATCATGGTATAAAAAATAAAAGGTAGGATATCAACAGTGTCAAAAATAGGACGGCCACGCGCATGGCGTCACGCGTAGAGTTTGTATAGGCGCGAATTTAAAAATACTAACGAAGTGTGAGGAAAATATATGCTAACTTATAGAAATTTGATGAATATTAAGGATACTTCCTTTTTAACCTCCCCCTTTATTTCTATTCACATATTTCCTTGCAAGGGGTACATTTCAGTAAGTAATTTTTTTCCCACAAAAAACCAACGTGCATGTTTAATGACTAGGTTAAGTTGTGCGTTTTCACATCTGTCATTTTCTTCTTCTTTTATTTTTCAGTTGCTTCACAACAGTTAACCCAGTCATCTCTTCTTCTTTCTTATTTTATCCTACAACATCACATACACTTGGTGATTGGTTCATGGCCCAAATCTTATATAATAAATATTTCTTCACTCATAGTTTACATCTTATTACCTATACCCTGTCATAAGTTTATCCAAGAATTTTTCTTTAGTACTTACCACCACCTGTAGAGGCCTTAACTTGACAAGTCTCCTTTCAAAAATGTTAGATTTTTATAAAAAACAGCAATGTTTGCTTAAAACAGGCCTTATCTTTTAATCTGTTTAATGTATGTAATTTGTTTTTGTATCGTCTTGAATATTTTAAAATTTTTAACTGTTTTATCGACTAATATTTGTTTTTCAAATATTTTTAACTTTATAACTTGTAACATTGTTTTGTTTTACAATTTATTTCATCCCCCACGTTTTGATGAAACTGGTTTGTAGTATTCCCTAGTGGATGGAGAGTATGGTGAGTTTTTTCTATTTTTTACTATTTTATATATTGTGGGCTCAAAGTCAACACACCTTACACCACATATTCTCCTTTCCACTAGGCGAGCCTGAAGATGAAGTGATGTTACTTCGAAACCGGTCGCACTCAATGTTTTGTTGAATAATTAAACATTGGACTTTCCTTGTGAGATATAAAGGACTTTTTCTCCCCCCTTCACCTTAAAATTAAGGATACTATTTTAGAAATTACATGAAATATCTATGGATATTATTGTGGGATAGTTAAGGAAAGAACTATGAAGGAACTTAAATGCAAATACATACATAAAAGAAATATTTTTTTAAACAGTTTTTCTTTTTTTTTTAATGATTTATTTTGTTTATACAAATTCGACTTCTAAAGAATAGTTTTTATAACCAGGATAATAAAATAAGGGGTATCTTCGCAACTCGAAACTGGGGATTCTGGTAACAATTTCACATCTGGATATGCCGGAAATTTTTACCTGATTAGGATTTGCAATTCATTTACCTGCATTATTTTACCCAATTGAATAAAAATAAGTTAAATTTTTTTTTTTCATATAATGCAGACATTCATATAATATAATGCAAAACATAAAAAAATGTACCAAATACAAATAACTGTTACAATACAAAATTAAAATAATATGTCGCTGCATTTTTCCTGGACCTAGTGGCTGATAGAGTTGTCAAGGTTAGTTCTTTTGAGAGAGCGCTCATTTTCGTTCATTTAACCTATCTGAACTAGTTCTTTTAGTTCGTTCATAGTAAAGATATGTTTACCCGTTATTTTGTAATTGTTTGCAAACCGAATTTCGTAACTGTTACTTTGTAACATATTTTTTAATAAAACAAAAACGTTATACAACTCAACATAATCATTTTTAATAAACATAAAAAAGAAAATACATATCTAATAAAATAAAATATAATTAATCCTAAATAAAAAAATTAATTTCTAACAAAAATAAATAAACAAATAAAATCCTAAATAAAAACAAAATGCATTTCTAAAAATAAAATATACATCTAAAAACAAAACAAAAATTCTAAAAAAAATCCTAAAAACAAAATATATTTCTTAAAACATAACTAAAACAATAAAGAAATTCCAACCGACACAAAATAAAAAAAAAAATTCATAAGTTATGATTTAAAAATATTAATTTTTCCACATTTTTTGATTTTAATAAAGTTCTTCTTTCATTTATGATTTGTCCTGTGCCAGAAAATATTCTTTCGCATGGCACAGATGTAGCAACAATACAAAATCTCTTGAGCAGATAGGCATATATATGTGGATATATAAGTTTCCTCTCTTCCCACCATTCCAAAGGATTTGTTTTTCTATTTAAATAGTCTTCGCTTAAATATTTGTCAACTTCTCTAATGCCAGTGGCTAATTTATTTTCAGGTGTCGTTTTTGTTATAATGATATCGTCATAATCGTCCCAAATACTACTATTTGAAATATTAGCATCAGCACTGGCAGTGTTCGTAACATCTGCTAATGGCGATTTAGCAGGATCAGGTATTGTTACATGGCCGACTTTATTTCTAAGTCCTTGTACAGCTATTTCAAAGGCCTGTTCATTTTTGAAACCAAGCTTTTTAAATCGCGGATCTAATACTGTGCACTCCGCAAAAAGCACATTGTTCTCTATTTCACAAAATCGCTTGTTCATTTGTTGCTTCAAGACATCCCGTAAAGCAATTACTTTTACATGCACGGGTGAAGTTTTTGCCAGGAAGCCTTGTAGGAGTTTATTGAAAACTATTACTTTTGATAAAGTAACATTCTTCTCAGAACTTATTTCTGCAGAAACTTCGTAAAATGGTTTAAGAATGGGTATTACCTCCTCTATTATTTGCCAGTCCAGTTGATCTAGCGAAAGATCGCTTCTCAAGAGCGCGATAGTAGTTATTATCGCATCTTTTAACTTTAAAATTCGATCCAACATATCAAAGGTTGAATTCAATCGCGTTGGTACATCTTGTTTTAATTTTAAAGAAGGCAACCCCATTCGATTTTGCGTGTCTTGTAAGCTTTGTAGAGCTTGACAACTCCTTTTAAAAAATTCTACAATAGCCTTAACTTTAACAAGGACGTCTGAAATTTCCTTGGTAGCCTTTTGCACCACCAAATTTAAAGAATGCGCAAAACACCCAATAGATCGCCATCCACCTAGCCTTACAGCTGCTAAAATATTGCTGGCATTGTCTGAGACAACAGCTACAATTTTGTACGAAATGTTCCACTCTGCCATTGTCTCCTTCAGTACTTTACACAGATTTTCACCCGTGTGGGTGTGGTTATATTTTTTACATTCAATTAAAGACGAGCAAAGATTGGTTTGCTCATCTATGTAATGTGCCGTGATAGCTATATAATTTTCATTGGTCCTAGAAGTCCAGGAATCCGTTGTTAGGCATACCGCTCTTGTTGTTTCAATTTTCACTTTTAATTTATTTCTTAATTCATTATAAGAATTCGTTAAAAAATTATTGGTTAAAGTTGTTCTTGTTGGAAGTTGATACCCCGGACAATGAGAAACCATATTAATTAACTTTTTGAATTCCGGCTCTTCCACTATTCGTAAAGCATGATGGCCTTTTGAAATCATTTTTATGACTTGCTTGTCGATTTCAGAATTTGTCACTTGAGTTGGTTTCAAATTTGAAGATGACGCTATATTTTCAAGATTTTGTCCACCTGTTTCTCCTATACTTTGCCGTTCTACACTTACTATTATTGCGGGGTGTTTATTTTTGATGTGCCTGCCTAGATTGCCAACTGACCCGCTAGAAATGCTTATGTACTGCAAACAATAATTACACTTAGCTCGTTTACCAGTTTCATCTTCAACGAAATGATTCCACAATACACTTAATTTTCTTTTTGTCGCCATCACTATCACTTAAAAATCCTAATTTATTAGCAAAGTAAATACCTCTGGTGATTCCCAGATTCAACAACAAACCGAGTGCATCAAATTATTCTAAGCGGTTAAAGCCCACCTCTACATAAGACGGCAGCAACTCTGTTCAGCTCGGAAGAACCGACTCACCCGAAGGCGACGCTCGTCCCTGAGCTGTGACCGATCGAAACGAACTAGTTCAGTTAGTTCATAGTTCTGGAACGGCTCTTTGAACTAGTTCGTTCATGAACTACGCAACTCTAGTGGCTGACAGTTTTTTAAATCATTTATCAAGTACAAGTCGAAATTTTTTTTTTTTTGGTATCATTTACAATTTTACTGCAAGGGCTGCTCCATGCCGAATTTTCTTGGGAAGGATGGTAGAATTGCCTATTTAGCATGTTTTTTTTTTAATAAAAGGCTCATGGATTTTAAGAATTTTAATCTAGGGAACGGCATGCTCCCCTGGGCCTCCGTTGGAGCCGCCCTTGGGCTACTTCTAACTAAGCTCTTACTGTCGAGGAAAGCGAGAAACCGTAATATCTTTCTTGAATCCTTTCCTTTAATTGTTACTGTTACATCGGTACAGCAATTTTTCAATGTTTTTTATTAAAACCACTCACAGAGAATAAAGTTTACAACACAATATAATACAAAAATATCTGCTTAGTATCTTATAAACGACTCACAAACTACTGCAACATGCGTCTGTCATATGATATTTATTTCACGCCAGCTCTACTAACTCTACGCATGACGTCAGCGCCGCCATGACACCATGCGCGATATCCCCCCTGATAGAATATAGAACTTGTAAAAAAAGGGGCGGGAGGGGGGTAAATAAAAACCTAAATTATCTTATCAACAGATATATTAGTTCAATTTATTATGAAATCTTTCATTTAAGGAGTGAGACGTTTGGGATCACGAGGGAACATTGACGTCTTTCTAATGTTATCCAATCCCAAATACAGCATAACCACTCTTTCTAGTCCTATACCACCACCAGCGTGAGGAGGACAACCATATTTGAATGCATCTATATAAGCCGCTATTTTAGACACATCTGAAAAAAAAAATATATACATGATATCGCACCTTTGATAAAATACTTGAAAAAAATAAATTAATAAATGTTACACTAATTGAGAACACTGAAGATTAAACTGGTTTCAATGCTAAACCGTGACATCTGTCATCTAGTGGCGAATATGTGGAGTTACAGATATGACTATGTGAGATGATGCTCCATTTAATTTTAAGGATTTGTATCTATTTAACTCGAAACCCTATGTCTTTCATGTTATAAAACTCTTATTTGATCGGATGTGCGATATATAATGATCAAATCAAATAGTATTTAGAAAGAGATTCGGTTCAAGAAGAAGAACTTAATCACAATTGCATTACTGTATGCAAAAATAGAAAACTGCATCAGAAAATAAAACAGTTTAGCAAAATTGCAGGAAATACAAAACTGAACAAAATCAAGAGTAAAAACAGTACCCATGAAACTAATTGAAAGACAATGTGATTGACAAACCTAGTAAGAAGAGCGTTGAACATAAAAAAAAAACATGAAAGGAGGAGAATGGAAAAGGATTAGAAAAAACTGGGCAAGTCAAATTATAGAAATTGGAAATAAGGACAGAATAACAAATCAGTTAGTGGAAAAAGTGGAAAAATGGATTAAGGAATAATTACAAAATATCAGACGCCCAAAAGGGCACAAAGATAAAAGAAGAGATTAAGAAAAATGTTTATATAAAATCAATGTTCTAATAAAAACAAAATTTGGGAAGATGACCTGTTTGTACTTTTAAACTCTTACCTGATAAACATTTTCAATAAATTAGTAACCCAATAAAATTTGCTGCTAAATTCAAAAATATTATTCTTTAATAGCTAACAATATTAAGTACCTATTTCATGATGTTTGGCTCTTTCTGTCAAAAACACTGGATCATGAATTCTCTGTGCACCACTAAGTATTTCCTCCCCTCTCATGAACATGTCATAGGAATTTGAAGCTTTGGGATTATTGGGATCAGGCATTGTATAAAATGGTCTCACAGCCAAAGGAAATTTATCCAAAATGTAAAAATCAGTGTCAAATTTGGCCTTAACTAAACGTCCTAATAATTTTTCGGTCGGAGTACTTAAATCTTCCTCTTCTCCTACTTCAACTCCGATTTCAGCAAGCATCTTCCTTCCCTCATTAAATTCCAAAACTAAAGGAGGATCCAAAAAGGTGAAAGGTTCTGCAGGGTACTGTTGGTTTATTATAGAAATCTCATTTTGAAGCCTAAAATTATTTAAGTTATTTTTAATCATTACTTTAAGTTTTTCCTTTCTGTTTCTATCAAGGTGTATGTGTGTGAACATACTGTTTTTTTACAGTTTTAAATATTACTCAAAATCAGTAAAATAGCTGCAGTTAATGAAGTTGTACCTATACGTAACCATAAGTCTATATTGAACATTGTTATGTAGAGTATAATAAACTTTTTTCTTTTTCAGCAATTTTCAGTTGAAAAAGTTAATTGGATATAGACTTAGACAAAGGCTAATGATCCTTTATCTATGCTATGATATAAACTTCACAATATAAGTGAAAGTAATTTTAAAGAAAAAAAAAATTATCTAAAACAATTTAATCAATAAAGATAAAATTAGTTATCAAATAATAATTAAAATTATTTGTGCAAATGGAAAATATATGCAGTAGTGCAAAGTTGTAATAGCCAGTTGTATGAATATGCCACGAATAGTAAAATTGGAACGTTTTGGAGGAAGAGCAATTATTAGGTACATAAATATTATAATCAAGGCAGAAGACAGTAACAAAAATATCAAGGAATTGTCCAGCATATATATTTATCAGAAGGAAGTAAAAAATGCAAGCAAGTATAAAGAAATTAATAAAAAATCATCCGTCATTGGTGCAATAAAATATAAATCAGATGAAAGGAAAAATCACATAATTGCCGAACATAACAATTTGGTGTGGAATAGACAGAGTCTTCATCACGTCAAACAACATATACATAAAAATACATTAAAACTTGTTTCTCCAAAATCTTTTATAAATTTTGAAAACACTTATGATAGTGATCAAAGTGATAAATCGTGTCACACTAGATTAGAAAAAGAAAAATGGATAAACATAGTAAAAAAAAATGTACAACAATGGTAAAATATTAATCAAAACTGGGAATAAAAGAATGAAGAGAATAAATATTTCCAACATAGACACAGGGAAGGCACAAGAAATGTGCTATGCATGCTTAAAAATTGGAATAAAATATTATACAATCACTCTAATAACACCTTTGATTGTAGATGTTCCAGAAAATACATTTAATATTCAACAATTGATACTAGCTATAATGAAAGTTGCAGAAAGTATTAACAGAAAAATTTCAACAACAAAAAGAGGACCAATTAATAAAAATAAAAACACAAAAAACGACTTTTACACACACAAAAATGAATGCGAGACTAAAATGGGGCTGCTATGGCGAATAGTAAGAGGTAAATTAGGATCCGTTGGATCATTAGACGTTGTGAGTTTTAACGAAAGAATCTGGAAGAAATTGGAAGTACCTAGTTTTACTGCAAAAATGTCTAATAATCAAGAATTTTACTGGAAAAGGCATTTTAATAAAATATTAAATATAGAAAAATTGAACAAAAACTTTATAAACAATGTAAGAAAACAAGGAAGTACAGTTGTTATAGGCTGGAAAACAAAGTTAAAAAATGCAGCATCAGGAATAAATGGTTGGAATACAACAAAAACCAATAAAATCAACAAGCAAGATAAAGAAGAGTGAATGTCATGTTTGTAGCTTTATCATAAATGTATCTGTAAATTTGCATAATATAACAAAATAATCATAAAAGCTTTTTAGTTTTAGGTTTGATACAATTTTACATATAATCTAATAAAATTGATTTATTTATTTGTATGTTGCATTATTTTTAACATTAAATAATTACTTACTGGTCACTTAGCCCTTTGAAAATTTCTGTAAACAAATTTCCAATGGTCAACATGACTTCATGGTAATGATAATGAAACGCCATTTCTAAATCTAATCCAGTAAATTCTGTCAAGTGTCTGTGTGTGTTTGAATCCTCAGCTCTAAAAACAGCACCAACAGTAAACACTTTTTCAAAATCCGCTGCAATGGCCATTTGTTTGTATAATTGTGGACTTTGGGCCAAATAAGCGGATCCTAAAAACACAGAAATTGACAATAAGTAAAATAGATTTATATCAATAGGTACAAAAACATTCTTACCTTTAAAATAACTAACAGTAAAAACATTTGCACCACCTTCTGAAGCAGCAGAAATAATTTTTGGTGTGTGAATTTCAACAAAACCTTTTTTTGTAAGAGCATCACGAAACAGTCGACATACTCCAGCTTCTAGTCTATAAATAGCTTGATTTGTTGGCGTACGAAGGTCCAATATTCTGTTATCTAATCTTGTATCTTGATTTACCCGAACATTCAATCCTTCTTCCTAAACATTAGTCAATAAAATATTTGCAGTCTAGAATTTAATTTGGTATTAAGTGGATTTTGCCACTTACCTCTGCCTTTTCAGGTCTTGATGCATCTTCAATTTGTAATGGTAATTGAGGGGCAGATTGTGAAACAACCCATAACTGAGTCACTACCAACTCAACATCTTGTTGACTGCAACTAGCTATGCTATTTGGCACTTCAGACACTCTAGCTTCTACATCCAATATACTCTCTTTTGGGATGCTGAAAGAATATAATAATAATACTTTATTGCTTCCAAAACATTTAAGTTTACACCAAGGGTTTGGGTTTTAGAAAGTACATAAATTTATAAACCTATGTAATAGTAGAGCTATATAAAAATAAAAACAAAACATAATATATAAGTATAACTAAATAAAAATCATTTTCCAAGTAATAATGCGAAAATTCTCCTACTCATTACAAACTTTCCAGAACGTCCTGTATACAGATGGATAACAATGATTTAATTCAGGATACAAAAATCAAATAACAACAAAAAGAACCCGTAACGAAATGGTATTTCCATAAAGTACGATTATAAAAAATAAATCGGTGAGACTATTCGCTTAAATAAATGTCCCAAGTTTTAATATATTCCATATATAACTCGCTATTATTTTGGCATTGTCAGTAGTCAACTTGTCCAAAGCAGAAATTAAAGAATCTATGTCCCGTAAAAAAGGAAATTGTGTTTTCATAACTGCATATATTGGGCAATCAAGAAGCAAGTAGTTAAGAGTTTCATATTCATTCATGTTACATACAGTGTATAATTCATCCGAACTAATATAATAGTAGGCTGCCGTTTAGTTTAAAACCCTAAGACATTCGAAGTTGAGCATTAGTGCTTGTGCCCTGGATTGGCAACCTAAGCAATAAGTAGGATTTTACATCTCTAGTCATTTCAAAACCAGTATACAATGACATAAAAGTGCAACACTAAGCTTTGTAAATATCTGCTTCTGGTAACTTGTTATAGTAACATTTTAATAACATCTTGTTTGACTTCAGAGTAACCGTATCTAAATTTTCCCATATATTTAAACCTTCAGTTAATTCAAAAAACATACCTAGTTAGCCAGCTCAATTAAAACGTACATCAGAGCAATTTGTTAATTTTTTTAAGAGATCAAATCAAAGTTTAGGTAACGATTACTATTCATTGCTAGTATTTTGTATAACCAGTTCAGAACGAATTTAAAGATATAGGATAACTTTACTCTACCTACCTCTAATCTAATTATACCATCAGGAGTATTCGTTGGTAGTAAAAGTACCCTTTTTAAAAAGTTCAGCTCCATGTATCTTAAGCCCCATGCTGCAACGCAATTAAACATTACACTAAGGGCCAAAGACTCAAAAAGCTTAATTCTAGGATGCCATGTATCAATTTTTGCTTTGGACATAAAGGGGATGACTGCTCCAACAGCTTGTTTTGACGTATTAATAGCCATCTGATTAAAAAGGGAGGAAGATGTAAACGTTACTCCAAGGTAAACATATTCATTAGAAACTGGAATCAACTCATTATTAAAATAAAAGGAATATGTTGGCTTCTGAAACACACTCTTCGAAAATTGCATAATTTTTGTTTTGGAGGCATTAACTGTTAAATAATTCAATGAAGTGAATGGCTCTAATATTTTAAGTTTTTTGGATACATCTACCTCAGAATGTGCAAACAGAACTAGATCGTCAGCGTAAAGTAATGCCAAAATATCATTTCTATTGGCAATGCTAACACCTTGACCACCCTTTTCGTAAAAAAAAGATTCTGTCTGCTATAAATAATGCAAAAAGTACTGGACTCATAGGCTCGCCTTGTAGCACACTCATATTTATATCAAACGTTTTAGTAAAACCATTATTGCCTTTTACTCGAACTACATCATTTAAGCATACATTTTTAATTACATGAAGAATTTTAGAAGATACACTTCAAAGTTGAATAGTTTCGACCACAGTAAAAGGTGATTAATTAAATCAAAAGCCCTTTTAATATCAACAAATATAGCAAAAAGCTTTCTTTTTCGAAGCCTGATGTGCAGATGTATCAGAAAACTCAAGGTGAAGACAATGTCGATACAAGCACGACCCTGACAAAATCCGGCTTGACATTCCGGTAAGATGTTACAGATATCTGTCCATTCAGTTAATCGATCCAGAATAATACTGGTAAATTTTTTGCAGATGAATTAACCAATGCGATTCCTCTATAGTTTGAAGGGTCTTCAACTGGACCACCCTTATGTATCATAGAAAATATGGTATCTGACCAAGTTTTTGGAATAATTTTTGTTAAAAAGGGAAGTTAGGTAAATAATCCAGTTACGCGGGAGGTTTTTTGTAAAAGTCATACAGTAGTCCATCACTTCCGGGAGATTTTTTGTTTCTACAGCGATTAAGAGCATTGTAAATTTCCTGCATGGTAATTGGTTTGTCTAAACAAGGGTGTCGCACAACAACAAAATAGTTAAATAATATTTATTTGAGGTGGATATAGGGTTGAATAGAAATTTTCCCATTCCTCAACAGGTAGAGATTTACTATTAGGTGAGTTATTTCTAAATGATTTAATAGTTGTCCAAAATTCCTTAAGAGTTTTGTGAACTAGACAGTACAGAAATCATTTCTGTCTGATACTCTTTTTTCTTTGCTTTTATTATGTTTTTATAACTTAGTTTAGCCGTAATGTATAAAGTTTTTGTTTCCTGTGAGAAATTATCTTTTCTAAAATTTGATAGTGCCAGTTTGAGTTGTTTTTGGCAAGAATACATGATGTGGCAAAACAAGGTTTATTATTACTTTTAGAGCTATTTTTTAACTGATTAAAATCCTGTGCGAGGACAAGACTTAAGTTTTCAGCTGTTTCACTAATAGCAGTATAAAGGTTATCAAATGATAATTGTACGTCTGGTATAAAAATGATTCTGTTCGAAACTTGCATTGAAAGTTTATATTGTAAAAGGTGAGTTTCTTTCCATATAAAAAAATTTACATTTATATGGCAAAGTATTTCTTATACACTCCTAGTCTATTTTAGATATTATCAAATTATAAATTAATAAGTTTATAGAAAAATGGTGTGATAAAAAATCGTCATTACCAACATAAAAATTATTTATGCCTAACTTATTAACGAAAGTAAATTTTCTCGGTTTGTCCTACCATTTATAAGTGAAAATGAATATCAGGGTTCGAAAATATCATGATATTTATATAAATATCAGATCACATGATATATATCTGATATATATCTGATATATATCTGATATATATCTGATATATATCTGATATATATCTGATATATATCTGATATATATCATTTTTAAAATTTAATTATTTATTTAAAAAACAGTCTTGTTTCTTGCACAAACTATATTTTAAATTTTAACAAAAACCTATATTCTAAACAACAAAACCGTTCATTCTAACTCAAATTAAAAAGAAAAAACAAAATTATTAAAATAAACGGATTTTAACATTATTTTTTTAACATTAATATTTTAACACAAACATGTAATTAAAAACCTATATTCTAAATTCTAAACAACAAAACATTTTATTATAACATTTATAACTCTAATTAAAAAGAAAAAAAATTCAAAACAAACAGATTTTTAACATTGATATATCCTCATCTGATGCATCTGATGAATTATTAATATCAATAATGTTATTCCTATTAGTGACAATAACTTTAGAATCTTCAGATATGGCTAGTTCCCATGCCCAGTCAAAGATGGTTTTCTTTTTGTCTATATTTTGTTTCATACACTTAAACAACAAAAACAAAACAAATCGTGGCGAAGCTGGGAATCCCAAAGTTGGCGTGGCGATGCTTGTGCGACAGATGAATAAATCACTAGTTACACTTTTCTAAAGGGGCGTATCGAGACATTTTCTAATGTTTAGAATGGTATAAAACATTTTTAATTTAATAAATAAAATTATTGAATATATCGGATATATATCAAGGTATAAATATCGTGATATATCACTTGATATATATCCTCCAAACCCTGTGAATTATTATACATGAAATCCACGAGCATACAACCTCTTGAATTTAGCACGATATCCATACTAGATTAATTCTCAAATAAATTACAATTTTGCAGAAAAACGTTGGACAGTGTACCTAAATTTGATAAACGGCAATTTAAATCACCCCCAATTATTATATTTAAATCGGGCATAGATTCAATAATTTCACTCAAAACAATTTGAAATGCCTCCAAAACATAACTCAAATCTAAATTAGGTTTAAAATAAAGATTACAAACTATGAATTTGAACTTCTCAAAAGAAAATTGGCTCACAATCCACCAAGGTGATTGGTCTAAAATATTTACAATAAATTTATTTTTATAAAGTACACACAAGCAGCCACTAGGCCTACCAATCGACTTTTCTTTAATAGCTGGAGCAAATATTGCTTTAAAGTTATGCAACAGTTAAGGTCAGGTATTGTTTCCGACGTAAACCAAGTTTCAGAGAGGCAAAGAATATCATGATAGTAGATAATCTATGCCATTTCTAGCTCAGATAAGAGAGAGATAAGGAAGATAAGAAAGATAAGGATCCCACGTGCCAAGGTCAAGGTCACGGACGACCCACATGCCCGTATACACCCGGACAAGTTCAGCCACCGACCACACACAACCCACGTGCCCGTACACACGCGGACAAGGTCATGTACCGACCACACACAACCCACATGACCCAATCACACAAGGACCCGTTTCGCGCAATTTCCACGCAACCTCACATATTTTTAGAAATCCATTTTCAAAAATCTAAAGTAAAACCTCTTCATTATTGTTTTAAGAGAACTATTTTAAGAATTCTATTTTAAGAAATCTATTTTAAAAAATCTATTTTAAGGAATTTATTTTTAGAAATCTATTTTAAGACATCTATTTTAAGAAATCTATTTTTAGAAATCTATTTTAAGAAATCTATTTTAAGAAATCTATTTTAAGAAATCTATTTTTAGAAATCTATTTTAAGAAATCTATTTGAACAAATCTATTTTAAGAAATCTCCATGTTTCATCGTTTTCATCTTTTCTCGGTAAATTGCTTTAGAACTTCTCGTATGCCCTCCTAACCTAACCTTCGTTCACGTGAACGCATGTCGCAACGACGCTTACATCACGTTCGTTTGTACTACTGCGCGTGCGCAAAAATCTTGGTGGTGGGGGTAATGAATTATTTGTTTAAGGTATTGAGACATTAAAGACTCTTCCAGTCTATTGAGACATCTTCTACGAGTAGTTTCTCTAAAAATAACAAAAAAAAATGTCTTCACTGTCAAAAACTGATTATTTGACTCTCTTGAATCTAAATGAAATTAACGCTTTGTCGCTACAGGAAATGGCACAAGATTACGAAGAATTGTCCAAAGAATGGTATCATTTAATATTAAATGAAAAGGACTTTAATTTACTTTCTTGTGCTCCAAATATTAAATGGTATTCTATTTCTCGATGTCATCTAATAGCAGACGATGGTAGTACAGCACATGAACATCTTCATGCTTTAATACATTTTACTAATGGATTTACAATGTTGGCCTACAAGAAAAAACTACAGCGCACTGGTACACGACTCCATTCAAAAACAACTTTTAGGAAAATAATTTGCTTGGACCATGCTGTTGGTGTCCTCAGATACATCACCTGTGCTGATGGACAAAAGCCACTTAGAAGGGATGGAGATGGTCTTAGGGGTACACCTCATTCTCATTACGATAGAAGAGTATTTAAACAAGATTGGTTACATTCTCGAGGAAAACAGTGTGGTTTAGTACGCACAGAAATTTCAGAATTAGCATCTGAAGGTGTAAAAGACTTAGAAAACTACACATCCGAACACGAACTTCATGATAAATCCACATGTAGATGTGATAGAGGTGCCGAAGGAATAAGGCGGAGGGAAGAAGCTAACGAGAAACGGAGACAATTTTACAAAACAGAACGGGGTATTGAAATTAGGAATAATTACAAAGAAAAACAAATTAAGAAAAAGAAACTTATTACAAGTTTACTAAAAATGGGGCTAAATAAAAAAGCTGAGCTTCAAAGAGAGACAATTTTAAAACACATTGAGTTACTGTAAATACTTAATACTGTTTCTTTAAAAATATAATTTTAAAACAAAATATATTTTATTTTCATTGTCCAATGTTGACTTTACCCTATTACAAATAACTTTCCCCCATTTAAATTATTAGCAATATTTGTCCAGTCTTTACTTAAATGTCCACACCTGCACTCTACTGTCCAGAGTAAACTACACGTTTTCCATTTAAAAAGCATTGGTGTCCAAGATCCTATCAATATTTAGATACACCTTGACCTTAACTTTGACCTTGGCACGTGGGATTCGTGAGGCGTAAAGATGTTTTTCTTTAATTTTTAAAAATGGAAAATTAGATTTGTTCAGATAGATTTCTTAAAATAGATTTCTAAAAATAGATTTCTTAAAATAGATTTCTTAAAATAGATTTCTAAAAATAGATTTCTTAAAATAGTTGTCTTAAAATAGATTTCTAAAAATAAATTCCTTAAAATAGATTTTTTAAAATAGATTTGTTAAAATAGAATTCTTAAAATAGTTCTCTTAAAACAATAATGAAGAGGTTTTACTTTAGATTTTTGAAAATGGATTTCTAAAAATATGTGAGGTTGCGTGGAAATTGCGCGAAACGGGTCCTTGTGTGATTGGGTCATGTGGGTTGTGTGTGGTCGGTACATGACCTTGTCCGCGTGTGTACGGGCACCTGGGTTGTGTGTGGTCGGTGGCTGAACTTGTCCGCGTGTATACGGGCATGTGGGTCGTCCGTGACCTTGACCTTGGCACGTGGGATCCTTATCTTTCTTATCTTCCTTATCTCTCTCTTATCTGAGCTAGAAATGGCATAGATTATCTACTCATAATCATTAATTTATTTCAGAAAATTTTCTAAATTTCTGTAGCCGTGACAATTTCATAAAGTAATTTTTAGTTTCTTGATGCAGGAAAAAATATGAAGGCCTTAAGTGAAATGAATTTGATTTAATTAAAATATAAGAGAAAAACAAAAGTTAGTGAATCTGAAAACAAATGGAAATTACTTTAAAATAAAGAATTAACAACACAAAGCCTAGCATAACATAAAAAATTTAATTAATTTGAGGGGTGGTGCAGATATAGACACTCGGAGAATCTAGTGTTTTAAGTTTTTAATTGTTGGCCTGTTAACATCATATTAATTTAGCACTGTCACAATATTCTCTTAAATGGCATGATGTACAAAATTGATTGGAGCAATTATTTAATTAAGTAATTATTATTATTATGTGCGTTTAGTAATTAAGTTCACATAATGTACTAATTATAGGATGTGCTTATTCTCATAAAGTACATGAACAAAAAAAAAACACAAATAGTAAAAGTCACATTTAATACCATTAATTTGTTTCTGCTGGTTTACAGAAAGCTAAATTATATTGCTATCCCTTCAAATTACTTCATGATCTCAAAGAAATGTTTTATACCAATGGATTCCTTGCCCCAAGTTGTAAATATATTGTCTCACAATTTGATAAGACAAATATTGCACCACCATTCTTTTTAATGCCATATATATTTTAACATTTCATAAATTTTATCTTTGTCAAAAACACTTAAAAATATACATATTCAAGATAAGATTAATTACCTGCTTGAAAATTTTACCATTGCTTTGGAAACAGCATCTGATACACTAAGAAGGGCTTGAATAGTAAATTCTTTTTGTCTTAAGACAATGAAGCATTGTTTTCCCCTTGACCTAGAAGTGTGAAGTCTTGCCCGAACCCACACAATTTGATTTGACAATTTTTTATTTAATTCATTTACAGTAATAAATTTTCTATTTATATTTTTATTCTCTGATTTGATAACTGGAAGGTTTCCATATTTTCCAATAGAGACATCCACTAAAAGTTAATAAAACATTAAAATTTGTTTAGGTATTCTTAATAATTTTGGTTATAGTAATAACAAGGAAAATATGAGCAGAAAACATGTGATTTTATTATTTCAAAGATAGTGTATTTTTACCTTCTTCTTTAACAATCTCTTGACTTCCTGAAGTAGTTTGTTTGTGCTCAGCTTTCTTAGCAGCTTTTTCTGCTTTCTTTGCTTCTTTTTTTAAAGCAGACTTGCTGCTTGTATTTTCTGCCGGTTTGTCTTCAACCATTTTTGAGTTGAGATACTAAAAAGCTGATGCAAAATTAAATAAAGTTGCGTTAAACTTTAGCAACCTTTTTTGGTTATCAGCGAAAAAGTACATAACCTCATTTTTTCTTCTACACTGCTTTTTTTAAAGTGGCCAAAGCCAAACTGCACAATCGGTATTAAAAAGGATAGCTAAAGAGCCACCAAAAATAGCTAAAAAAAAATGAAGTAGATGCCTTTTACATTTAGAATAATTTGCTAGCTTTTGAATGTAATGTAAGGTTAGAATTATTGTTTGCAGTGTGTTTGAAAATTAAAAACATTAAAAAACTACTAATTCATAAATAATGTCATAGGAGAAAAATTTGAAAAATGGATACTTATGATATATTTAAAAAATTAAGTCGAGGAGCAAAATTTCCTAAGAAAACTAACACAGTTCAAGTAAGTCAATTCATTAATCCAACTCCTAGTTTTCCAAGTAGGTACTGTGTTTCTAGTTATGTTGCACAGTAATAAAAATTGGCCAAATGTAGAAAATGTATAATTAATTGAAAACAAGTTTAACCCATTTTAGAATTTAACAGAGAAAGAGCTGGCGACTGAACTACTATGGTCATTTCTGCAGTCATGAAACTATTATACAAACCATACAAGGAATAAGACTGGCTAGCTAAAATTTCTGTTAGGTCTTTTCAGATAGTTATTTTAATACTACAAATATTAAGCTGTATAAACTTTCCAGGAAAAATGTTTTCACATATCGTCATTGAAGAAGTGACGACATTGATTAACCAACATTACAAGTGATACAAAAAAATGTATTAAAATTTATAAAGAAATAATGGAGTCGCTTTTTCTGCTGTTTTATAATATATTATAACAATTTTTATTTGAGGGTGACTCATCTGCCAGACACATGTTATTGCTGTCCAAGTACAATGCAATTCGCAGATGAGTCACCCTCAAATAAAAATTGTTATACTATGTTCATGTATATTAAGTCAAATTTGGGCAAAAGTAATTTTAAAATTATGATTTGCTTTAACATCTTTGAATATGGTGATGGATATTATAAAAATCTGAAATAAACTTGGCCTCCAGGAAAGCAAACAGAAAAAAAGGGTCTTCTAAAAGTACAGTATGTAATATAGCCTGTAAAGAAGATTTTTTCTACAACAGTACACCTTGTATTTATATTTTTTTCTTGCATTTTTTTATTATTTCAGACAATGTTGATTTGATTATGATGAAGGTATAATTAGGGAACGTGAGACTGACGCAAGTGACAGTGACAGACGACCCATTTACTTCAAGGCAGCAAACATTGCTCTGAAAGTGCTAAGGCGGCATATACTTTGATTACTATACGAGGCAAGAGAGAGGTCCGACACGCCCAACATAGGGCGCGGCCATTTTGAACCCTGTGACACAGTTTACAGCTAAAGAATCAGATCGCTCTCTCTGCGTCGGCACTTTGGATCTCAATGTTTCAGTTTATACACTGTGCAACTCGGATAATACAATATATGACAACCGCCTATAATAAAACAGGAGTCTTCTGCATATCCTGAATTTGTATCCCTGGAGTGGATGTTATTTTGGAACTTTCAACTGGTCTGAGTGAGCTAACTGATTCTTTAGCAATAAACTGTGACTCCAAAAATAATATTCACTGACACTGACAGCAGCAAGCAAAATATCAGGTGCGTTTTAATCATCCGCTTCTGCTTCCGGAATTGCCGGTTTAGTCGTTTTAACCTGTCAGATTAAAACAAGAAAGCCGACAATTCCGAAGCAGAAGCGGATGATTAAAACGCATCTATTAAAAATACTGCGCCAAGATGTAGGCAACACGTAATAAGGGTTCAAAATGGCGGAGTTTTCTATCTCCTTTTAAAAGGCACTCAGAAAGCTGCGCAGTGCGACCATTCTCCGTATAGTAAAAGAAAATCAAAGTATGTGTAAGGCGGTCTATTGCCTCGGTCGCTCATTCATATGTAAAGAGACACACTTAGGTTGCCTATCGCGGTCACTTGCATCGGTCTTCTGTCTGTCTCACGTTCCTAAATGGTACCTTAAAGGCAGATATTTAATTGAACAATCAAGATTAATGTAGGTATAAAATGAAAAATATTTAAAACAATTTTCTTGGAAACCTATATTATGAACAAATTTAATTGAACATAGGGCTTTTTTTTAACTATAATTGGAAGAGGTATATTTAAGCTATACAAACTGACATGATTAAAATTTAAGCTGTTTATATTAAAATCATATTTTTAAAATTTGTAGGTTCAAGCAAAACAGGAGAATCCATTTGAGGTTAAAATTGAAACAAAACCAGTAAAGTTTGCAAATTCACAAACTCAACAGGATAACTCAATTACTTTATTAAATGGATTAAGTACAGAAAAGAGAGGAAAAAAACGTAAAATAGTAGATGTTGAGCAAAAGAAGAAAAATTTAGAACAGGAACAAGTATGAATTAACAATTTTTATATTCTTTATTTATTTATTTATTTCAATTTGTACTTTTAGATAAATCACTACAGAAACGTTAATAACATTACTGTTGTTGGTCGTCATGTGCCAGAACCTTGTAAATCTTTCAATGATTTTAATGTGGATGAAGATATTATTGAGAACCTGAAAACATGTGGCTTTGAAGAACCTACACCAATTCAAAAACAAGCTGTACCTCTAATGTTAGAGGTAAACAAAACTGTATAATTTAGAATTTTCATTCCAACCTTGTAATATAATAAAATGGACTGATACTGCCCTTCCGTAAAAGGGTTATTCATAAGTTGATATTTCTTTTTACCTATGTATTTATAAAAGTCATTAAAATAAAAATTTTCAAATAAATTTTTCAAAAAACTCAAAAATAAGAATTTATTACAAAATGCGTAAAATATAGTCCTGTCAACTTATATAATGTGTTTATTTGTGTAATTAGTTCTACACCTTTGTTTCCTTGTAAACAAAACTTTTCATAAAAGTCAAGAAAAAACACAAGCATTTAGGAAAGTATGTCTAAGAACTACATTTTAATGACCAGGCCTGAATTTGGATTTTTTTAATTCTATATTTTTCTTAATTTTGAACTTTTTAAATATAGGTAACCAATTAAAATGAATAGACAGTCTTGACTTAATTCTCATAATGATGAGTTCATTAAATTAAATGATATATTCTAATATTTTTAATTAAAACTCATTTTTGTTTCTTTACTTGATCTTCACTTTTTAAAAAGATCAAATAAGTTGGTTATTCTTGTTAAAAAGTATGGATTAAAACTACTACTGGTTGGTTCAATTATTCATATTTTTTTACAAGAATCATTTTCTATCTTTTTTATTAATAGTTATGTTGCTTCTCCTTATATTAGGGGAGACAGATTTTGGCATGTGCTCCGACAGGTTCTGGAAAGACAGCTGCATTTTTGGTTCCAATAATAGATGCATTAAAAGGTCCACAACGACAGGGTTTTAGAGCATTAATCCTATGTCCAACGAGAGAATTGGCCAAACAAACACAAAGGGAATGTGGGAGACTGTCAGAAGGCAGAGGATTCAGAGTACATATCATCAGCAAAATTAAAAAGGCTTTGACGCAATATAATCCAAATGGTTCACAGAAATATGGTATGTATTCAATTTTATTGTTACATCATCTTTACTTTTTGTAAGAAAGGAGCAATTAAATTGTTTAAAATCAAAATAACAAACACTTAGGTGAACAAATAGTATCTGTAGTTCATTTGAAGAACTTGAAGGAAGAGTGTGTAATAAAAGTATGACCCTCCAAAGTCGTAAACTATAGGCGTGCACATTATTGTAATATATTTAATAGACTAAATATTTGTAGTAAATAATGTAAATACAATACACAAACATATTTTTCTTTTTTAATTAGTTAATTTATTAAATTAGCTCAGCATTTTAGTTAGAACCAAGTGAACTGCAGGAAAATAATCGAGTTACCTAATTGTAGTATTAAGGGGATGATATGAAGTGATAACTTTCATTGTACAATACAATAACCGAATCTGTAGGTATTAAATAAATAATCATTATCGATTCATGTTTATGTGATAATGGTCTTTTCTTGATTCAAATAAAAGTAAACCTCCTCAAGAAAACCGTTCGTACTGCCTATATGAGTAACAATTAATTACCTTTACCTGAATACCAGTAGTGTACTTAACAAGATGTTTTTATATTTTAAGGTTTGTTCCAACAGCTAATCTGATCATCAGAAGAACGTTAGACTCATGCGCGTTGAAAATAGTCCGTTCCTACAAAGCCACGGATAATTCGATGAGCTGTCAGCAAAACATTCCAATGTATTTTCTGATTCGTACATATTAGGACTGTGAGCCATGTGGCATCCCCCACCTCGACCTTTTCAGATCTATTGTGGCCATCCTTTAATCGATGTTTAGAGGAACCTTGTCTAATTCGGTCTTTTGTAGTAGACTCATAGACTGGGAAGTAGTTCTCCGGTATAGCTAGTTGCCCTTGGTTTTTATTCTCCAAGTGTTAGGAATCTCAGTGTTGCTAGACCTTCGCAGTAGCATAATACGTGTTCTGCCGTTTTCTCCTCTTCCTGACAGAATCGGCACAATGTCTCTTCTGTCAGACCGATATTATACATGTTTGTTAAGCCTACAATGCCCTGTTAATAGATCTGCTAGTACTATAGTATTTTTCCACTCCTGAGATTGTTAAACATCCGCTGCTTTGTGCATGTTCTGATAGTTGTCTTTGTGACACCACAGAAGGATTCTGGGCCAATAACAGCCTTTGAGGCTCCTTCTCAGGCTAATAAATCAGCCTCTTCGTTGCCCTTATGTTCTCTGTGGCCTGGTACCCAGCCTAAGGTTAGTCTGTTTCGACTACCCAGCTCTGTTAGGGCTTCCAAACAGTCCCACACAAGCTTTGAGTGTATCTGCATAGAACTGAGTGCTTTTAACGTAGCTTGACTGTCTGAGTAGATGACAATGGTTTTTCCATTTACCTTTAGTCTTAATATCTCTTGTGCAATGATGTATTGCCTGCTATTTTTACCTGGAATACTGTCGCATGTTTATCTAAGCTCAGTGATATTCTTGTCTTTGGCTTGGTACTGTATATACCTACTTCTGAACCTCTCTGCGTTTTGGAGCCGTCTGTATGCCAGGTAAATTCTGCATGAATAGGAGGTCCTCCAATCCACGCTTCCCTGTCTGGTATACTTTATATTGATTTTGAAAGCTATACTTTGGAAGCTTTTCGTCTGAAGGCATTTTCATTACTTGGTCGTTCTCCAACTCTACTCATATATACCTCGCTCTAGTTGCGTCCATGCAAACTGCTTATGGGTGACTCGTAGGTTATCATAGGCCTTATGACTCTGGTATATAACCATAGGGACCTTTTCGGTTGTAGTCCTTAATTTTTTCCACACAACCTTTGACATAAGTTGAAGGATGTTGTGCTCTTTTGCCTGTGGTCAAAAATGACTCCTATTTGGCATTTTGAGCAAATGGAATCTTCATTCCTTTCAGTACTGGTGACTTTAGTCCTGTCGGTACTTTTCGTTTTGTGAAGTTGACTGTTGGTTTTGTGAGGGTTTACTGTTAGTTCCTCCTCTTTACATCAATCGTCAACAATGTTTTGAGCGGTTTGTATGCACTTCGATATTGTACCTGCGAACTTGCCTCTTATGACGATGGCCAGATCATCGGCATACCCTAGGCAGTTGAATTCTGCAGATATTAGCCTTTTTATGAGTTCGTCAACTAGGACTGACCAGATAAGGGGTAATATTACTCCTCCCTGGGGGCAGCACCTACCTGCTTTAGCTATCAGTGTAGCTTCGTCTAGAAATGATGTTAATACCCTTTATTCTAGGCTGGCTTTTATCCACTGACATAGGACTACTGATACTCCTTTCATTGCTAGTGTGTTAATTATAGATCTTGTTTGGGCATTATTAAAAGCTCCCTCAATATCTACGAAAGTTGCTACTGCCGTTTCTTTATCCTTCAGAGATTTTGACAGTAGCCTGTTGAGATCATTCAGGGCCAAATCGGTTGACTTGCCTGGCTAATATGCTATTGACAGTCGCTGAGAGGTTTCCTCTCACTATTTCGTCTCGTATATATCTATTAGTCTTTCTAGCGTTTTCAGCATGAATGACGATATACTAACTGGGCGGCTGTTATATCTTTAAACCTTTCTACTTTAGAAAGGTATATGACTTTCACCTTTTGCAGGCTATACATGCTTTAAATATGCGACATATATGTGGAATTAAAGTTTCCTGTCCCTTTTGTAGTAGAATGGGATATATTCCATCTACTAATGGGGATTTGTATAGTTGACATTTATTTGCAGCTCATCTAATTTTGTTCTGCCTCGATATTTCTGTAGCTAGCCTCCATTTCAAAGGATTTGGCCTACGAGACCTTCTATGGTACTATCGGGTCTAACAAAATTTCTGTGGCCGGAAAGTGTACTTCTGTGAGCATTGTTAACGTTTCCTCGAAGTTTTTTGTACAGGTTTCATCGTCTTTCCTGAAAAATCCTACTTGGTTTGCAATATCCCCGTTAGCTAAGACTTTGTGGATTCTAGAGAATGTGGGTGTTACAGATAATTTCTCACAGAACTCCATCCACGATTGCCTTTTAGCATTTCTTATCTCCTTGTACTGTGTGAGTTTAGCCCTATGTAGGGCCCAGTCTTCGGTTGACTACTTTATTAAATAGCCTTCGCCCTTCACCTCTAAGGCGTTCTAAGTGTTTGTTCCACCAGACCGTTTTTGTTCTTTGCTGCCTTGTTTTCTCCGGACAGTTTTCCTCGTAAGCGGTTTTAATGGCGTTACTTGGTCTACTGCTCGGTCAAGGCTTTTTTTACCTGTTATTTCCACCATACGCTCTTCGAAATACTCTCCAAATTATGTTGAATACCTTTTCCAGTTGGCCTCTCTAGGGTTTCTGTATTTGGTTGAAATTCGAGGAGGGGTAATTAGATCAAATCTAATCTGTCTGTGAACTGAACACAATGGTCTGACACATGCTACTTTGAAATGTTATCACTTGCTTTACTCGAGTACATAATCATGTCTAGGACTTCTTTTCTCGTTGCCGTGACGACAGTTGGTTTGTTAGCTATATTAGCAATTACTAAACCTTCAGATAAGATGAATTGTAATAAAGACCCTTCTCTTGTATTATGTCAGTCCCAAATGGTATGGTGGGCATTGGCATCACATCCTATGATGAGTTGGAGGTTAGCCCTTTCCGCATATGAAACTATTATATGCGGGGGACATAGCTCCGCGCCTGGGAAATATGCAGAACAGACTAGCCATCTTTTTGTTCCTTCCTCTGTCGGCGTAGTTAGGAGGGCTGTAACAATATCAGCGGTGCACAGCACCGTTATAAGATACATATGCGAGGTCTTTCGTTATACTATAACTTACCATGGTTGGGTTTTAGGCCTGCTACCCTCCCGCCATGTATCCAGGGTTCTTGCAAGAGGGCCAAATCTAGGCCCTCTGTCGAACCTCCTACATACTGTAGCGGTGGCCGCCTTGACATGATGGAGGTTCACCTGAAGAACCCTGATCGATCTGCTCAGTTCTGTGAACTGGGCAGTTTGTCTGCCTTCTTAGAGGCATCTTTAATTTCCATAGGTGCAGTCTTCTCTTGGGCTTCTTGCCTCTTAAGGGAACTGACCCCACTGTAGGAAGACTTCACCTCGTCGTCCTCTACCAAGGTTTTCTCCTCTGCAGAGGACTCTTTCGTGCCCTATTCCATGCTGTGGGAAGACTCCACCTCGTCGTCCTCTGCTAAGGTTTTGTTCTCTGTAGAGGACTCTTTGATTTCCTCTTCCCTGCTTGTGCCTGGGTTATTCACCTTTTCGGCGGGCTTTTGGTCATGTATGTCCTCCTTTGAATCTGAATTTAAGTCTCTCTAGGTCATAGTAGGGGGACATGCTCAGCTTTTTTTAGCACCTCTAGGGATTCAGGATCCATCGAGAAAGCCCACGTTTGACCTTTTTCCAATGGGATTTTATCCCACACCGTCCAAAGGTGTGTATTTAGCCAAAGGTTGGCTATTTTTAGCTTTTTGACGATTTTCTCCCCTTCGGGCCTTTGTCCTCTTTCGTCGGGAACGAATGTTGTGCAGGCTAGTGGCCTAGGGATATCGTCACCCTCCAACGCTTTCAGGGTTACTCATTCCCAAGGTTGGATGGTTGTGACGAAGTCCCACAAAGAGTCTGCGAATCTTACCTGTGTTCCCTCTGTGGGGATTTTGTCGTGGGCCTCGGAGATCTAGTCTTGGACTTTTCCTAGTCTCTCTGGACTCATTTTGATCTCCGGCTTACCTATTTCTACCACTGCAACCTTTGCTGATGTAAGGGTCTCTATTAAACGAAACTTCGTCCGTCCTGGCCTTCTTCCTCAGTCGGCTATCTGTAGCGGTGTTGCGTCTGTTGACCTTGGGCGTTTTAGAGCTTTTGTGCCTTGTTTGGCAGCTTCTTTCTCCTTGTTGTCTTGATACTCTAGCCTCTGGGGCTTATGTGGCTTTGTTTGGGCCCTTTGAAAATTTTCCTTAATCACCTCCTTTTTGCGGCTGTGTAATCAAGGCCAGTTTTCAAGAGCTCATTAGCCTCGTTTTCGAGTGTTCACCTAGACGGGCAGAATGTATTTCGTCCTCGGGTATTTGATCTACCTCTTCCAGGGAGGAGACGATGATTTTACGCCTCTTTGCTAGCTTTTTAGCATTTGCAAGAGACGTTGCCTTCGTCGTATCCCCTTTCAAGGTTGACGCTGTTGTCTTTTGTTGCATTTCGCTGGTTTTGTTGTTTTTAGAATTCATATTTGATCCCACGAGTAGCTAGGGTAAAACAGTCTGCTACGACAGAGCCCTGCATGCCGTAATAAGGTCCTGATATTCTGGGAGATGACCCGGCGTCGCAGACGCTCCGTTTGCAATACCTTGACCCAGGTATCATTCCGTCTTCGGCACTGGTTGCGTTACACTTTAACTTGGGGAGTTGGTTCGCGGCGGCAGTTTTCGCAAAGGATTTTGGGGGTTTTAAGTCCCCTCGCCCTACTTATAGCTTCCACTAGCCAGATAGTCTGACTGTCCTCCTTTCTACCACCCGTAGATGCGCCCGGTAGGCTCTCAGCCCTCGGGATACAGTACGTTAACCGACGCTCCAAGCAAAATAAAGATGCTACTTAATTATATTTGGACAAGAGATGGTTAAAGAGCGTAATTGGTTTAATCACTTGCGGCCCGCAGTCGGCGGCGTATTCTATTTCTCTATATTCAATAGCATGTTGTTTCTCTTTCGTTCCCATAGTTCATAGTGTATTGTAGTTGTTCACAATTTGTCATGGAATCATGTCCAATCCTGGATCGGAGTTTTTCTGATTGGCTACAATTCTATTTTATCTTTTACATTCATTGGGTTGTTTTGGAAAAAGTTTTTGCACCTAGAGTTTAAATCGTTCGAGTTGTCTTGTTTAAAAGATAGATCATTATTTGTTCTATTACATGTTTAAATGAAGTTTTCGCTGAATGCGTTGCCATTTTCTTCATCTGTGGCGTAGACTAAACCATTATCTGTGATATTTGGTATTTTATTCCTTATTTTATATTTTTACACTTTATTTATTTTGTGGTAGAAGTTTATTCCCTGTTCTCGATGGATTTCGTTGCAGGTCTGTAGCCATATGTGTTACTGAAATTGTTTTACTAATTTTTGGATTTCTTTGTTAACATTGTTCATATTTGTTTTGATTTCCCGGTTTAGGTTTCATAACACTCTTAATTTAGATAAATAATTAGGTCTATGAATAAATTCCTAATATTTTATATTTTAATAATTGTTTTTCTACAAACTATCAATCAAATATCAATTTACATTGTGGCCTTCTTCATTAAGAGGCAGTTGAACAATAACTATTCAATACTATAAATATACCTAAGGTTGTACCTAAGTTCGAGAGAAATCTGACTTAAATAGATTGGGTCTGGGAAATGTAGTAAATTTTATTTTGAAATAGTGAATATATTGTAAAATAAATTATTGAATCGAAGTTTAACTGAATGTTCTGTACTATGCTTACATTTCTGAGAACGTAATTTTTCTTGTTTTTCAAATGAACTAACTATACCTACTTGTAGATGCATAATTTAAATTACAAATTAGAAAATTAAGAGTTGTGAAATAAAATATAAAAGGATTAATAGAATTTACTTTTTCTGTTTTTAATTGTTAATTATGTATATTTTTCAGATATACTAGTAACTACGCCAAATCGTCTGTGTTATTTGCTTAAACAAGATCCTCCAGGTATATCTTTAAGGAAGTAAGTATTATTGAGTAACTTATTCTTACAAAAATGTTTACATTTAATTTTTGTTTTAGTGTAGAGTGGCTGATTATAGACGAAGCAGATAAGTTATTTGAATCGGGAGTAAGAGGTTTTAGAGAGCAATTAAATGATATTTTAAAAGCATGTGATAATCAGAAAAGAAAAATCGCTATGTTTAGTGCTACTTATACTCCAGTTGTTGCAAAATGGTGTGTACACAACATGAAGGGGCTGGTAAGGATCACTATAGGTCATAGGTAAGATTTATTGTCTTTTATATATATTTTTTATTAAGATCAATATTCTATATTTATTTTAGGAATGCAGCTACAGATTCGGTAGAACAAGAACTTTTATTTGTTGGCAATGAGCAGGGAAAATTACTAGCTTTTAGAGATTTGGTCAGAAAAGGTTTAAGTCCTCCAGTCTTAATATTTGTTCAGAGTAAAGAAAGGGCACAACAATTATTTAATGAACTAATATATGATGGAATTAATGTTGATGCGATACATTCAGATAGAACTCAGCTACAGGTAAGTTTGTTTTGTTAGTAACCGTAAAATACGCATAATATCAAATTCAGAAGTCATTTTTATTATTTGAATTTTTTTAATGTTTATAGAGAGATAACACAGTTCGAAGTTTCCGCGAAGGTCGCATTTGGGTGTTGATTTGTACAGAGTTAATGGCACGAGGTGTCGATTTTAAAGGTGTCAACTTGGTAATAAATTACGATTTTCCACCTTCTGCAATTTCATATGTGCACAGAATAGGCCGAGCAGGACGAGCTGGAAGAAAAGGAAAAGCTATTACATTTTTTACTTCTGATGATACAACTAATTTGCGAAGGTAATTTACCCTTATATCTTATTTACACCTTTTAAGTGGTTTATTACAATTAATAATTCTTGATAGGATACACATGTAACAAGTTCACAAACAATTTTAACTGGTTACTTTGCTAAGCGTTAGAAGATTGATCCTAATCTTTATGACTGGAAATAAAGCAGCCTGGAATCCATTTTAATGATTCCATCAAGCTAAAACATGTCAATGTAAAAATGAATTGGTGAGTTCGAAAATCGTACATGTCTAAAATCAGCCTTCCGAGAAAAACAATAAACACCTTTTAACGAGTCACGAATATGTACGGTTTTTCGCTTAATTTCACGGGTGTAATCAGCTGTACTACGTTAATGGATAGGTATCTAGTACGGTTTTTAAGCTCAATCGATGAAAAGACAAATTTTAAACAAAATGGCTCTTACTTTGAAATGTCAAATTTTGGACTTGTACGGTTTTCGAACTTACCGATTCAAATATATTTTGTAGCGAAGGAAAGATAACCTGTGATGTATAACATTCAAAGTCATAATAACCATAAAATTATAAACAATCAGACTTCTATAGCAACCTCAGTTACCGAGTAGTCTTAAGGTGAAGTGAGCCTAATCTTTAGCTTTCACTAGACTGTCGCAAAACTGAAGGTTATCAATTTTACGAAAGAATTATGAATATTTGATATATATGTAAAGGGGATAGTACTTACGTAATGCGTACATAAATTTCAAATCATGAGATTTCAAGTTTTTAAACAATGTGAAGCTCCGCTGCTATGAACCTTGCAGACTTAAAATTATTTAATTACTTTTCTTGAAAGTGGTGGATAGTGTTTATAGAAACTAGTGAATGCAGCTGTAACTTATTGCATCTAAATAAATTGCAACATTTACAGCCGGTTGCAAGAACGATTGTTAAAATCTCTCGTTAGCTAAAGAACAAATAACTAACTGAGATTAAAACTGGCAACGGCGCTTTTCCAACTGACAGTCTGTCGCTTCACAGCTGATCACGGGAGATTGTTATATTAATGAAGTTAATTTGGTAATATTTTTTCGAAAACTAATTACAAATAAAGTAAAAAATGAAATTGAGGCTCAACCATTACGGCTATGGTTAAATGTTAACACTATCCCTATCTTTTTTCGACATCGGCTCATATTTTTTAATATACAGAAGCAAGGACAGTCGGTTCAGAGAAAAAATGTTTTACACATGAATATAATTTATTAAAATAAATAGAATGGCTTAAATGAAGAAAAGGTTCCAAGAAGTCACTGGAAAAAGAGGAAAATACTCATTTAACTGCCCTTCTAGTAGTGCCCGATTAAAAATCTGTGATTTGTGGTTTAAAGCAACAGTATTTAAATATAGTTTGTCCCTTTTATATAAACTAAAACTATTTTTTCTTGTACTTACTTTACATTTTCTCTTCCCGTTTGTCATGGAAAAGCACATTTCTTTCTACTGTACATTATTTTTTCAAATAGAAGTACATAATTAAAAACATGTTTAGTTTTTATCATGTGTGCAAACCCCATTTACTGTGGTAATATTTCCAATGTATTTTCTATTTTTAACAGACTTCAAAAAAGAAGTAGGTAGGTTCTCAATTCATCGGAATATATTTTTTTATGGATATTCAGCGACAATTCTTTACGATGTTGTCCGATTTCTGATTATTTTTTTGTTAGAAAGGGGGCTCCTCAGAGATGGTTTCATATATAAATTTGGTAAAGATCTGATGATGGGATTCATGAGAAAATAATCACTCTTCGTATTTTGTAGTCGTCAGTTTTTTTAAATTAATTTTGTAACTTATACATTTTTTAATGAATCAAAGTAAAAAACTGTTTAAATTGGGAAATTTCTAAAGTTCAGTATCTATTTTTTAGTTAGAAAATGAAAACTGGAGGAGAGATGGTAAAATCTCTGGTATGAGAAATAAATTCACATTTGACCTATTCTTGAAAATCATATACAGTTCCTTTAATCCCTTCAATTTGGATGCTATATTTCTTTGCTAATAAACTAATGCTAGAATATATTTTTTATTTAAGAACAACTTTCTATTTGTACAATATTGGCATTTCTAGATTGTTGAGAAAATTAAATAATTATTATATGATAATTAGCTTTTATAGGTTGTGTAATAGTTGAAATTTAGAATATTAAATAATTGCTATGTAAATTACACTTATTTACCTTAATATATTTGCTTTCACATTTATAATTTACAGATTTGTAGGTCATAAATAAAACACCAAATTCATTTTAAAATTTTATTTTCTAGGATTAAATTAATATACACAAAATACATAACATAATAAAAAAATATAATAAATCTACAATAAATAAAAATACATTTAATTTGCCTATCATTATTAAGAATTCTAATTCTAGAAAATAAACATTCAATTCAGGATTTCTTTTTGGTTATGACAGGTTTCAAGTTTACTAGTAATTTTGTGTTAAAATTTACAGTTTGCCTAACGTATTGGATATGTCTACTTAGCCAGTTCCACATATTTAATAAATGTATAAAAAGAAATGGATTATTTCAACATAGGTACAAACAATAAAAATGTTATTACTGATAGTAGTTTACTGCTAAATATTTACTTTTTCTGAAAATAGGCAGGAAAAAACTATAAAATAATATTAAATATGGTTGAGAATAATGAGAATGTATAAATACATAACATTTATACGAATTAAAAAGTTTTTAACAATATAAGTAGAGATACCAAGCTCCATAGTTATATGACTTAAAATTATTCATGCTATCATCTCATGAAATATTTTAAAATACTTAGCAAACACCTATATTACTACAAAGTAATGCCTATTTAAAAATAAAAATATATTGCTACAAGGCTATACCTCCGTCATAAGCCAAACCCCCATAACTGACAAATTACAAATATTTGAGGTTATTTGACCATTCTGATACTAACCCATTTTTCTTCTTAAAAAGTAAACAAAATACCAGCAATTTTTATTCTGTATCCTAAAAAGTCAACTTGATTCTACAATGTAACTAACATTTTTCTAGAGAATTCTTATCAAAAATCAACCCAAAACATTAAATCACACTTATTTATATAACTAGTTAACATTATTCAAAACTTGTCTTTAATTCAACAAAAGCAGCTATATTGGTAACACATATCAAAATACTGGCACTAATAAATTTATTTTATTGCATATATCTTCATTCTATAGTTTGTGTAGTTACTGGGGCAGTATAGATATTTTAAAGTTTTATTTGTGAGCCAATCCTGTCTTGTTTCAAGATTAGTGGTCCATACAACAATATTTTTAATTTTGTTGTGTTACAAAGTTTTCCTTTTTTAACTGTATGGTTTTGCTTGAGAGTCTGTGCAGGTGGACCAGAAGAGTCTACTTGGACCAGGCAAGGGTTTAGTAGATTCCTTGGGAGTGAAGATACTACTAGGAGAAGCAGCTACGGAGACTCCACTGAAAAGAGGCATAATATCAATTATTGATTCGTGCACCTACAGAATAATAAATAAATACATATTATTCTAGAGCTCTTAAAAGTATGTTCCGAAATATAATGATATAACAAAATTTATAGGAAATTCATCATTGAAGAAGTTATAACTCGAACCTACATAGAGATTCAACGATGATATTTAGCTGCAGTTAACTAGGACTCGTGTAATTATTTATTGCAATGCAAGAACCTAATTAAACCTACAGTTATACTTTACTAAAATATGTAAAAGTTCCCTTCAATTCCAAATTTGTCTTCATATTGCACTCATTTTCTTACCAACATACAAAGTATTTGTGATAATTATACAGGATGGTCCAAATTTGACAGGTTTATAAGATATTACTAAATTAGCAGGGGATAAAGCACATTTGATCTCACCTTTTTTTTAAACCAAACATGTTATTTTATATCCCGTTATAAATTCCTCCCCTAAGTAAAATGTAAGCGTGATTTTTAAAATATCATTATTTTGTTTGGGTGTTCAAATAAAAAATGGTAAATGGTATTATCTTGAAAATTTGTACCCCTTGAAAAAATAATAAGAGTATGACAATGGATTTTACATATGTAACTATGTCAAATTATTAAATTGTTTTTGAAAATAAGATATTTATTTGAGATAATAAATTATGATAAAATTAGAAAATCACCCTATAGCTTCTAAAATGGATTTATAACATAACTAAGCATTCCATGTTTTATATCTCAAAAAAGTTAAGAATGGTGGGTTATAAGGTTTCGATATCTAGTTGTATCATATAAAAGCGTCGAATTTTGACCACCATGTATAATAAAACAGCTAAGTTTAAATAAAATAAATAAAATACTTTCTTACCAAAGAATGCAGCAGTGGAATCAATGGGGACTCTATTTGATTATAAAAAAATGCTTTAATTTGAGCCTATCTCATCAAGTTGAAGATTAACCATGTCTCCTTCTCGTTTTTCACCCTTAAACAAATAAGGAAAGACTTTAAATAAACAAAATTAATACTAAACGTTAGTTATTTCCAATTTTATTTTTTTTTTTAACTTTAGTAGTTTGAATAATCTTTAATTGTTAGTATAATTAATCAGTAAGAAAGTATTGTTCCATTGTACTTTATCACCAGATTAATATTGTCTACTTCAAAACAAATAAAACATTTTCTGTGCAGGTATCTACATGACGTAAATTTCAACACACATTTGCTTATAATTTTAAATTCTATATGTACAATTGTAATATTGTTACCCTGCGGCTATTATTATAGGAAATCTTTGGGCGCCTGTGGATAGGCCAGATACAGCAGTCTTTTTATATCGGCCTTGAATTCCTGTAGATTCTCATTGTGTTTCTGACTACGACCTTTTAGCTGGCTTTAGGATACCTGTATTAAACGCTGCTGGTCATACCTTGTCTCTAAAGCTTGGACGAAAGATGAATAATTGGGTTCCTTTTGGGAAAGTAACTGTAAAACGGTTGCTGCCTGTCCTCGCAGTGACACAATCAATGAAGCCGCATCTCTTTCTCGCCCCAGTCATTGGCTCTAGCTGCAGCTTCAAATTCGAGTCGATATGTTTTCCATGTTGTCTGACCGTCAAACGTGGTGGTTTAAGGGTCTTGATGATATGGTTTTGTGAAACGGGGGTTCGAATATGGCTTGGTTCGGTTATAGATGAAGACAAGGTAATGTTTTCAGCTTCAATGTAGCTTACCAAACTTGGCTACGAATTATTTTTTCTAACTTCACTATTTCAGTTCTAATTTTGCCTTTCCAACTCCACTCTAGCCTTTTCTTGTTGTTGTTCTAAATTAGCTTTTAAATTCTCTTGTTGCTCTAAATTAACTTCTAAATTATCCTGTTGTTGCTCTAAATTAGTTTTTAGCTTCTCTTGCCGCTGTTCTAGATTCGTTTTTAAATTCTCTATATTAGTTTTCAGATTTTCATGTTGCTGCTCTTTCTTTTTTCTCTTCCATCTTCAAAAATCATGCTAGAGGGCATGAAGTATCTATGTCTGTTTCGTACTAGTGGTATTTACCATGAATAGAATACTTAGGTAACTTTTATTTTGTATCCCACCGCTGTCACCAAGTTACGCTGGTTTTTGATGAACTGAATTTATTTACAATCAACTTTTACAATACAACTTTTCAACGTTATCGTACAACGTCTATCCTAAAACTGAAACTCTGACGTCAGGATCAATAACTTACATAGCTCCCTTGAACCTTTTCGCCCATTTGTACTGTTACTTATGAAGGCCGCAGCACACTGTAGGACGATGGGTGATATTGCACTTCTTCTTTTATTGGTACAGCCGCAAGCTACTACATGATGCAGTGTAACAATATTTTTAGAAAGGATTTGATGATGACTTTTAGGCAAAAGTGCTCCAACCATTTTTTTTTAAACTAATTATATACACACCGAAGTACTTGTCAATATCATTTATCCAAATAAAAGTTTGTTTAGGGGCTCCTCAAGACTCGCATGTTGGTTTAATATTTTTCTTCTTGTTTACCAATGACGTCTGTTTTAAAGTTGCTTCTGTATACAGATGATTTGAAGAGATCAGGTCCAACAACAATCAGAAACCAGTCATTGACACCAGGCTTCTGTGCAGTAGATTATTAGGACCCTCAAATTATATAGTGCACAAAATCCTATTGTCAACGACTGGTTTCTCATCGTTGTTGGAACAGACCTAAGTTCTACATGATCAATGATAGAATATAGAATTTATTTACCATATAATTTACAAATAATTTAGAAATTACAAATAATATTCTATACACTTATACACATTTTAGAAATTCAAAACAAGTAATTACAACTAAAAACACTTAGAGAAACTTATAGAAATAAGGCACGTAGCCTAAATGCATAAGGTACTTAATAAAATAATAAAGAAACAGTGTGCACCTTAGTGATTGAACACTTGTGCAACTCTAAAGATTTAACAAACTTGCTTAATAATAGTTAATATTAAAAAAAAAACTTGTACGAGCATAAAATATATCATTTTTTTTTACTTCATAATTTTTATTTATTTTTATTTTTTTATCGTAAAATTTTTGCGAACTCAATATAATTTTGAAAAATAAATTTTTTGTTACACTTAAAAACTTTTAAATTTAGTGATAAGCCTAATCTTTAGTGGTAGGAGATTGCATGCTTTGGGCAAAGTATGAATAAAAAATCTATGACATATATTTTTCTGAAATCTTTGGGTTGGCAGTAACTCATTAGCAGTACTACGGGTTTGATAAACTAAAAGTATACTACGGGTATTTACTGATAATTTATTCTTGAAGGCATACATACATAAACTATGAAATTATAATGTTCGGATATTACATACATCTTCAGTGTATAGATTTGTGTAATATCTCCTTTGTTTCTTAAATATAATTTTTAGTATATAGTTTTGTGTGATATTTAGTTTCTGCAATGAGTTCCTGTACATTCCTCCCCAAATAAAGATACCATAACGAAAAAGTGATTCAGCTAGGCACTTGTATATTAGTAATAACAATTTTCTCGATAGTATTTCTCTTAGTTGATAAAATTTGTAAATAAGCTTTCTCACCTTTTTCGATAGATAATCTATATGATTGCCCCATTTTAGATTTTTATTCATAATTATACCCAAGTACTTGACTTCGTTTGCCTCTTTAATTTCATCTTGCATACCTGCGATTTTTATCTTGGTAAAATCAGGTCTATTTGTTTCAGTCAAGGTAAATGCGAGATAATTTGTCTTGTTAACATTTAATGAAAGTTGGTACATATTTAGCTATTTCGTAATTTTTTCCATACTTCGTTCAACAGCAGTTCTAGTTTCCATCCAAGAGTTTTCACGAAAAATCACGACTGTATCGTCCGCGTAGGATACGATAGTTGCTCCCGTTACCAATGACAAGAGAGAGTTTATATAAGTCAGAAATAGTAATGGGCCAAGAACGGTACCTTGAGGTACACCTATTTTTACAATTCCAGACTCACTTATCGTATCATTAACTTTAACGCATTGTTCTCGGTTTGTCAGATAACTTTTAAAAACATCTAAAACTACGGTACGAATACCATAACGTTCTAGGATGTATAGGAGCCTTTCATGGTTGACAGTGTCGAACGCTTTAGCGAGATCCAGAAAAACTGCTATACATTTCTTATTATTATCTAAACCCTCTGTAATGTCCCTAATAACTGAGCACATAGCATCACTCGCCAGAAAACCAAACTGCTGCTTATGTAATATATTATGTTCATCAAAAAATTCCACTAATCGAGTTTTTAGACATTTGTCAAAGATCTTTCCAAAATTATTAATCACACTAATCAGTCTATAATTTGAAATTTTTGATTTATCTTCAGCTTTATGAATAGGAGTAATTATAGAAGATTTAAATTGACTGGGGACAACACCATTCAGAAAAATTAAGTTAATTATGTGTTTAAGTGGTTTTAAAATTTATTGATGATTGTTTTTTATAATATCAGCTGTTATTCCATCAATTCCTGGTGAACTACTACTTTTCAGCGACTAGTTCTTAGTCTGTAACAGGATTAAGAAATATGGAATTAAAGTTTTATGAGACAATTTCTGTGAAAATAAGTTTTTTAATATTTTTTACCATATTCAAACCAATATTGATGAAGTATTGGTTACAGTAATTTGCCATTAGCTTGTTGTCTTTAAATGCAAGATCTTCATCATTATGAAGTTGAAATGTAGGTTTCTTATTAGTTTTTTCATTAGTAGCGTCAGAGATTAGTTGGAAAACTTTTTTTATATTATTTTGTTATCTTCAATTTGTTTTTATAAAATGTTCAGACTGTTCCTGTTACTTTTGTACTCGCGTTCAAGTTCTGGTGAGAAATGTAGTTTTAACCTTTGTTTTAATTTATCTCTACGATGATTAATTTTATATTGTACCATTTAGAAAATTTGACCCTATAGTGTACTGCTTTATGTGCACACTACATACATTAATTTTCGGTGTTATTATTCATTTAATGTGCTATTTTCATTTTTTCTTTTAGTATTGCACATATCCTTAAAGAATCCGGTTGTGAAGTTCCACCATATATGTTGGCAATAAAAAAATTACCAAAATCGAAAAGGAAAAAGGTTCAAGCTGGTGCTCCTAAAAGAGAGGAAATTATTACAAAACCCCTATATGACAGGTTAAAAGGAGGCAAGAGGTATAAGAGTTTTTAATTAAAAACAATATAGATATTAATTATTAAATTTCTTTTTTAGGGAAAAGTTTAGAGAAATAAATAATAGACTCAAAGAAAAAAGGAAACATCTAAATAAAAATAAACCAAAAAAGAAAATATCTAGTTCTACTAAAGAGGATTTAAGTGAAAGTGAATAAATTTAAATGATTAAAATATATTTGACGATATTTAGTAGTTTTATTTATGTTTTTACTACTAAAACTGCCACTTTATTGTTCACCAGTGAAAAAAGTCACCTACTTATTTACCTTAATCAGTTCTGACGTAAGACGATATACCTAACTACATTAAGAGCAAATTGTCTGTTGATGAGAATATGTTGTTATGAAATTTGATCACTTAATAAAATATCAAGCTGTATATTAATAAAATTATGTAGTAAAAATGTATAGCCAGCAAATAATATGTAACATAGAGCAGTTTATTTATAAAAAAAATTGGATATTGACAAAAAAAAAATAAAAAAATAAATTTGACAGCTATAAAATTACAAGATATACTTACCCTTATGGTCCGGGAGGTAATGACAGATTTCAATAAACCATTTTCGCAAGCTTTATTTTTTGAATATGAGTTATTTAAATAGCATCAAACAGTAAAATCATCGTCTTCCATTCCAGTTGTACGACAGGGGATGGCGGGAGGGTTGCAATTCCAGTAAAAAAATTATAAAAAAAAAATCATTTTCGCATGGATGAAACTTGGTGTACATGTTGATATGAACATAAAAATACTAGAAAATGTCTTCCACCTGAATTGTACAACAAAGTACGTCTTCCATTCACATAAATGGGCGTAAAAAAAGTAATAAAAAACGTGTGGCGCTCGGGGACTGCCGCGGTAAAGCTATTGCATAGCATTTTTATCAACTTATGCAATTATAATTATTTATTTATTTTATTTATGCAGTATTTTTTTTCTTTGATATTAATTCAAGTTTTTTCTTTGATATTAATTCAAGTTACACTTTTTGAGCGTGGTGACCTATAAGAAAACAATTTTTTTTCTTTTATTGAATAAATGAGAAGTTAATATTGTTTAAAATATTTTTAATTTCTTACAATACATGTAGGTTATTCAGTTATTTTTATTATTGACACTAGAGGTTTATAAAATAATTTTTTTTAACCACTTTGCTCAGGATAGGGATTGGCACAGGTGCAATTTGTAACTCCAAATTTAATGTTATAACGATCTTGGTACCAATTAAATTGCATGGCTCCAACACCCACTAAACTACAATACATTCAAATTAAAACTGAGAATTAAGGCATATAATTACACTTTCTAGAAGTTTAAATTTGCGATTGTCCAAAAAAGCGTTTTTGGATATACAATGGGTCGTATGATTGAACGTTTACGTTATCCGTAATGTACATGTTAGGCCAAGTTTTATCAGTAACAAGGCAAGTTCGTACGATGGAAAACTTTTTTCAACACATTACTGTTATTTTCCGCCTGTTATGTTCTAATTTAACAGGTTTCCATCATAAGAACTTGCCTCGTTACTTTTAAAATTCGGTCTAACATGTACGTTACGGATAACGTAAACGTTCAATCATAGGACCCAATAAGTGTGCTTTAGACCGACGACATGTCTTTGAAGCATATTTCATGTCGTTATCAGATGACGTTTGAAATTTGCAGTGGGCTCTTGGGCTAAAAGGTACTAAATACTGCATTTGTGATAATAATAAAATGTATGTACATAGAGTACTCACTTATTTTCTTTCATTATTTTTTCATCATTTTCTTCATTAATAATTGCACTTTGTTTATTCATATTTAAAACACTTTATACACAAATTTTACGCGTACAGCTATTCACTGTTGTACATAGATGACAGATACCTATACACCTACTTGGATTTGGATAGTGTGTAGATAGCAAGTTGGTGGTTCGAGCCCCGAAACTTTTAGTTAAAAAAAAAAAAAGAAAAATATTGTTTTATTATTTCACAGTCTTGGTAATTTAAAATGTTTAGTTTTTAAAAGGTATATACTTATTCAGTGATTTTCCACACTCGTGTGATAGTCGCACGAGGCACAAGCCCACTCGTGTGAAAAATGTCACTTTCCACACTTGTAATGTAATATACTATTCCTATTTTTTGAATTTAAATAAACGAAGTCTCCTATGGTAGCTTGCATTTTTAAAATTAGCTGAACTTGAAAGAACCTCGTTATGCGCCACTATGCATTGAATAAGTATATACTTTTTAAAAACTAAACATTTTAAATTACCAAGACTGTGAAATAATAAAACAATATTTTTCCTTTTTTTTAAGAAAAAAAAAAAAACTAAAATTTTCGGGGCTCGAACCACCATCTTGTTACCCACACTATCCACATTACGACTACTTTATGCTCTGCGCCACCGAGGACATATTGATAGAAGTTTGGAATCGCTTATAATAATATTGTGATGTTTGTTTATTTTCAAACAACAGTTTATTTATTAATAATTTATTTAAACACTTATTTATTTTATAACACAACTATTCTAATTTATATATACTTCGAATGTCTTTAAACTGATCACTATTTATATTCACCACTGTCTATCTACTAATTACTATTTATCTTCACTGTCCATATAACTACTGATTCTGATGGCTCTCCTCCACCAATTTATATACAAATTGGTGGTCTAGAATGCTCCCCCACCAAAATTGCCAGTATGTACCAGAAACGTTATCACGTTCTAGAAATAGTATCTCGTTGACTCTGGAATGTTCGCGAAAGTGTCTCCACCATAGTCGTCCCATAGGTTTGGTCTTAAGGGGTTTAATTATGTATAATAATTGGACAAGTTGAGCCTCAAAGGCCAAATAAGACAGAGAGGGACTTGTAGGGTTATAGCATGACTGAATAATGAAATGGCTCACATAACATTGCCCCCTCCTTAAGAGATAGTTCCTCCTGGAACTCTTACGAAACTAAACTGGAATGGTATTTGCAACTGAATCCTCTTTTACAATTTCCAGTTGCATGGAAGTAACAAGGTACTGTCTTCGCTGTAACCTGGGCACTGGGCGAATGGCTGCAGACCAATATCTGAACTCCGGTATCTTGAAAGATTACTTCCACCATGTTCCTAATGATCCTCAAATCCAGCTGATTTCCTTCTATCTTCGGCATGGCTAGTTTCTGTACATTGGACTCCAGTACATGCTCCCTTAGACTAAGTAATGCTTCCCATACATCCTGATAGGTGGATCGGTCTTGAAAGGTGTTCTTCGTTAATAAATAAAAAAGATACCGTGACCCGTCTTGAAGTTTCAAGGCTTTTCCAGGGGCTGATAACTGACATTGAAGTTCTACCAGTCGACCAAACTTCTTACGGAACACATATGCCAGTCCTCGCGCGTCGTTGATGCTGGCGGAAGTACTATGGACCAGCGAGTAGTTTTTCGGAAGCGAGAGCAGATCTTGTTGTTGCTCGGTCGTAACACCATATCTGGCTTTTCCAGTACCTCCATATGCACCCATAAATTCTTCAAAGACAAGGTCTGGTGTTTCTTGAAGTTGGTTTACTTCTTCTTCATGGTCACCCTCAAATGGCGCCAGCCTGTTTTGGTGCACTACCTTTGGTTTACAGTTTGGGATCTTACTTATACGGTAAATTACATCATTTATTTTATTCTTGATGAGGTACGGACCTTCCCAAGACCTTTGAAGCTTCGGAGAATAACCCTTTTGTCTTTTTGGGTTATGCAGCCAGACTTTTTCGCCTTCCTTGAAACATCCCTCCGTAGCTTGAGTATCGTACCGTTTCTTCGTCCTGTCGCTGGCGATTTGGAGATGCGAGCGAACTAATTTATGCATGTCGTCCATTCTTCTTCGTAACTGGATCACATAATCTTCACCAGCTACATCTTCTCCAGGTCGGCATCCAAACTCGAGGTCGCACGGTAGTCTCATATCACGCCCAAACAAGACCTTTGCTGGTGTTTGTCCTGTTGATTCATTGACAGCGGATCTATAAGCCATTGCAAAGAGCGAAAGATACTGATCCCAATCTCGCTGATGGTTTGAAACCACTTTTGACAGATATTTGCCAATGGTCTTATTCATTCGTTCTACCATTCCATCGGATTGTGGGTGCAATGCTGTGGTTCTGGTTTTCTTCATGCCTAGTCTGTCACAGATTCCACGGAAAAGTTGACTTTCAAAACTTCTGCCTTGGTCACTGTGGATCTCCAAGGGCACTCCAAATCGACAGATAAACTCTTTTATCAATACATCTGCAACAGTTGCGGCCTCTTGATTTGGAATGGCATAAACTTCCACCCACTTTGTAAAATAATCCATAACCACCAAAATGTATTTATTACCATCCTCGGTCGCGGGGAATGGTCCAGCAATATCTAAGGCGATCCTCTCAAATGGGCTACCAACGTTGTATTGCTTCATGGGTCCCTGCCTTTTTCGTTGAGGTCCATTACTCATAGCACATCATCGGAACTGTTCATCCAGTAAAACCTTTCCCGAACTCTTTGAAGGGTTTTCCTAACACCGAGATGTCCTCCTGATGGACTGTCGTGTAACTGACGGAGTACTTCAGCTACTCTACTTCTTGGAATGACCAACTGTCTTCTGTTCTCGGAACCATCATCATTTTCAATTACTCGCTTTAATAAGCCATCTTCCAGGATAAAGGAGTTCCACTGAGCCAAATACGACTTAAGTACTGGAGAGAGATTAGATACTTCTTGCCAAGTAGGTCGACGATTTTCCTCTTTCCATTGTCGCATCTTCTTTAAAACGGTATCATTCTCTTGTTCTTCCCTAATTTTAGCAGGAGCCCACTCATCGTTGACTACAGTTGTTCTTAGTAGCCCACTTTCTTTGGATTCCGCTTTGTTGCAGTGGGAGCACTCTGCTGGACATGGTCTTCTAGAGAGAGAATCAGCATTTCTGTGACTTATTCTGGCTCGATGTTCGATCTTAAAGTCGTATTCTTGAAGTCGTTTAATCCATCTGGCGATTTGACCCTCTGGGTTCTTAAATTGCATTAACCACTTAAGGGCTGCATGGTCGGTCCGGATTAAAAATTTCCTTCCGTACAGATATTGGTAGAAGTGTTCCACGCACTTTACAACTGCCAGGAGTTCTCTTCTTGTGACGCAGTAATTTCGTTCAGGTTTCGAAAGCACTTTACTAAAATAACCTAGTACTCTTTCTTCCCCTTCCTGAATCTGTGAAAGCACTCCTCCAATTCCCACATTACTAGCATCAGTATCCAGGATAAATTCTCCTTCTGGTAGTGGATAGCCTAATATTGGCGCTGTTGTTAAATGCTTCTTTAAAGTTTCGAAGGCAGTTTGGCAG